TGGTCCCTCTAAGAAATCATTTTCAGAGATGTGATCCTCTCTGAGTATTTGGACTTTAAGCCTCTCTGAGTATTTCTCTTTAAGCCCTTGCTTTAATATATTTTTCATCAGTCTCAGGTAGGATCCCCTTCTCTTTTCTATTTTTACCTACCTTATTATCTAGGAGAAATCTACAAAAACTTGTTATTTTATTTTATTTTTTTTTTTAAATTTTTTTTCAACGTGTTTTATTTATTTTGGGGGCAGAGAGAGACAGAGCATGAACGGGGGAGGGGCAGAGAGAGAGGGAGACACAGAATCGGAAACAGGCTCCAGGCTCCGAGCCATCAGCCCAGAGCCTGACGCGGGGCTCGAACTCACGGACTGCAAGATCGTGACCTGGCTGAAGTCGGACGCTTAACCGACTGCGCCACCCAGGCGCCCCAAAAACTTGTTATTTTAAATGAAGAGGTTTGTCTTCACAGGATCCATAGCAGAGATGTTAGATGCTACAACGCTCAATGTGCACTATCATCAGGGACCTTCCTGTGTTCCTCTTCCTCTTTGATGTTTTACCTTTGGGGAGAAAACGCCCTCCAGTGTTCCTGGCATAGGGTTCCTCCTCTCTCCTGCTCCCCACCCCCACACACATTCCCTCCTCTTTCCTACACACATATTGTCACGAGCATGGTTTTCTACCCTTCTTGGCATCTAGAAATTTCCATCTCTGAGTAAGTATAGAGAAATGCTGATGAAGCACAGAAATAATACTCTGGCTCCTTTAAAAAAAAAAACAAACCAAAAAACAGTACTCCCAAAGTAAGGGACTGGCTCTACTTTTTCTGAACTATGACAAACACTGTGGATGGTAGAGATGTCTTTTTTCCCCCTTTTATTCCTTTTAACTTTCTTTGAGGAACCAAGGCTGCTATGTTTCATGAAGCAGCATGTGTGCACTCCTTATTGCTATTCCTAATCCAGCTCCATCAATTTTATGGTTTGTGGAAATTCCCTATAAAGTTGCTGCTCTTGGTGACTTTTCTTTAACTCTTAGTCTTTTATTTTTAGGGTCATGTGGATTTTTGACGTTGTCAGTGTTTTCCTAGGTATCTATTGAAAGGTTGAAAGAGCCCTGTGTAAGGGTCGTGGCTTGGAGACATTTTATTTTTTAAAAAGTTTATTTGTTTATTTTGAGAGAGAGAGAAAGAGAGCATGCGAGCGGAGGATGGGCAGACAGAGAAGGAGAATTCCAGCAGTCTCCTCCCTGTCAGTACAGAGCCTGATGCGGGTCTCAGTCTCACCAACCATGAGATCATGACCTGAGCTGAAACCAAGAGTCAGACACTCAACTGACTGAGCCTCCAAGGCACCCCATGACTTGGAGACATTTTAATTCCATCTTTTAAAAGTGCAGTTTGATCACTGAAGAAATCTATATAAAGGAGTAAGGAGAATCTAGGAAAACAGTCTTGAATGCTGATGTTCCTAACCTTTTTATAAGGTTGTATGTAAATAGCTAGGTAGCTTTTTACGAAGCCTCCTGTTATTGTATTTTAGCTGATTTATTTATCATCTATCTATCGGTCTATTTACCTATCTATATTTGTTTATTATATTTTAGCTGATCTATATTAGTGTAGAAGGGATGCTGGGCTGGAGTAAGGCTAGCTGAAGTTCAGGCCAGATCTGGTACTATTTCCCTGTATACAGTGATTCACATTAATTTTAAAAGTGAAAAAAAAAATTGGGGCGCCTGAGTGGCTCAGTCGGTTAAGCATCCGACCTCGGCCATGATCTTGCAGTTCACGAGTTTGAGGCCCATGTTGGGCTCTGTGCTGACAGCTCAGAGCCTGGAGCCCGCTTTGGATTCTGTGTCTCCCTCTCTCTTTGCCCATCTCCCACTCATACTGTCTCTCTCTGTGTCAAAAATTAGTAAAACAGTAAAAAAAAAGTGAAAAAAATTAAAAAGTAAAATGAATCAAGTAACTTATTTTAGACAAGCCAGTAAACCTCTGCATCAGTTTCTTTATTTATAAAGTTAGGGGGAAATCTATAATATTTATAAATTACTTTATACATGTTTAATTTCACAACATTGTAAAACCAAGTTATTCTACCAATAATTGAGACCTGGTGAGTTCATAAAGAAGCTAGGGCAAAATTTCTGACCTAATCAACCTTGAATTCAATGTACATTGATTTTCAGTTTTGATTTTTAACATACTCCCTATTTGTAAGTAAGTATTGGTGTTTCTATCCCATTTTGGCAGAGGCATTTTCACTTAAAGAAAATTTTGCAATCAGCATTTATTGAAAATAGTGTGCTTGTGTTGAAGCATTTTTCTGCCATAGGTGGCTGACACTGATGGATCTTTTTTCATCCATATTTTAGTGAGTGCCCTAGGTTAGTTATGATTTTCCAGACTTCAAAGAGAGCAGACAAACCAAAATATTGGGACTGTGAGGTATGTTCAGGGACAAAGACATTTTGTCAACTCTGTGATTATGCTTTGCTTGACCTTTTTGTGAAGTGGGGTGAGGAGTACTCTGAGAATGACTCACTGGTCGTTCACCTCAGAGGGCATCTGGGCCTTAGTCACTCTAGGACTTCACAGAGAAAAGGTATCAAACTCATATCCTTTGACTTTGAAGGAATAGTCTTTTTGTAATTCGATTTAGGTCAGCATTTTGAACCTGGTCATTTTACATGGAGTATTTTATTTAAATTTCACAATAGTCTCTGAAATGTAGGTTTTGCTATCTATGTTATAGATGAGGAGATACCTCCCTAAGACTAAAGGAGAGTATGCAAATTGCCCTATGTCATATACTTAATTAGTGGTAAAGATTCCATCTATAATTTTTCTGACTCCAAGTGCATGCTTGTAAACATCATGTTGAGTCTATCAGTTAGGATTCAGTTCTTCTGCATGTTAACAGTAACCTAACTACAATTGCATTACTAAATAGAGCTTTAATTACTGCACATAACAAGCAGTACACCATTAATATGCAGATACTTAAGAAAATCAAGCTCCTTCTAGCTTCCTTTTCTTCCATTGTTTGTATTGGACTTTCATCCTCATTGTTGCAAGACAGCTGCTCAACCTTCTGGTGTCATGTATGTATTCCAAGCAGGAGGGAAAGGATGAGCAAAGGAGGAAAAAAAAAATCACCTGCTATCTAAATTTAATCTTCTTCTTCTTCTTTTAAAAAATTTTTAATGTTTATTTATTTTTGAAGGAGAGAGAGACAGAGTGTGAGCAGGGGAGGGGCAGAAGAGTGGGGGACACAGAATCCAAAGCAGGCTCCAGGCTCAGAGCTGTCAGCACAGAGCCCAATGCGGGGCTCGAACCCAAAAGCTGTGAGATCATGACCTGAGCTGAAGTCAGATGCCCAAACTGACTGAGCTACCCAGGTGCCCCTATCTTTTTCTTCATCAGAAAAATAATAGCTTACCTGGAAGCCTTTCATAATACACTTCCATTTGTATCTCATTTAGCCTTAAATCTACATTTATGGCTATTCCAAGCTTCAAGAGAATGTGGGGATTCATATTTTAAGTCAAAATTTATTAAAATATAATTTACATACAGTAACACTCACACATTTTATGTATACAGATCTATGGCCTTTGATCAAATACATACACCTGTGCATTCACAATCACGATTATAGAATATTTCCATTTTGAGGAGCAGTGTTAACTGAGCATTTTGCCATCTTGAACAAAACTGAGGTTTAGTTCTGAAAAGAAGGAACAGACAATATTAGGTAGGCAGCATTGTCATACTAAGGTTAAATTTTTCATTGAGGAAAAATTGACATATAATGTTGTATTAGTGTCAGGTGTACAACATAATGATTCAGTGTTTGTGTATGTTGTCAAATGATCACCACAATGTCTAGTTTCTGTGTACTTAAATAATGGTTTGGAACAGCAGTAGAGGAATTACCCATAAGTGAAAGAAGACTGTAGTTATCATTAACCTAGCTTGAAACAGGAACTTGGGTAAATCTCCAGGTCTATTTATGTCTCAATTTTCTAATATTTAAAAGAAAAGCTTTCAAAAAGATCTTGAATGTGTCAAAAAGTGGGGTTCAATGAGTGAGATAATTTATGTGAAAGCACACTGAGATCTGTAAAGCTCTATCCAAATATAAAGAATTGTCTTTTCGCCCACGTTTAGAGGTGTTTCCTTTGATAATGATGATGAACTTGACTTACTGGCCTGAAATATCACAGTTGTGAAATTCAAATGTAATTGTAAAATATACTAACTCTTTAATTTATCAGTGGCTTAGAAATCAAGACAATATGTAGCTCTAGGTAGAGTCAATTTCACATTTTCATTCTTACCAGTTCTCTTTCCAACTATATCTTTTTCAATTGGGTAAAAATAGCACTAAATGTATAATTTCCTGAACCTATCAAGTATATGTACATTTATAACTAATAAATTGTTGTGTGACTTTTTAGTTATTATTTAATATTTTAAAGATAAATCTTGACAGTCTTCTAATCAAACTGAAATATAGATTTTGAGAAATTATACTTTTTGTAAAATCAAATAATCTGAACTGTTGGAGTGTTTAGGAAGACCATTTTAAAATTTGTTCTCTTTTTGTTTTAGAGGAAAACACTCTTTAAATTCACCTCTTGGAATCAGGTGTAAAAAGTTAAAAATCAAAATCTATTATGACACTTGGGGGATACTCTAGAATCAAACCTCTTGATTGCTTGTTATGCAGGATCTATGAAGAAATGTGATCTTTTGTAGTATTTATTACTCTCAGAGTTCTGACATAACACTCCTCTGAATGTGAATATCTTTCAAAATGTGGCTCTTTCCTATAGACTTTAATCATGACTAGTGTCAACCAATACTGGCCTTTATTAAAAGTAAATGTATTGATAACCTGGGATACTCATTATCTCTGGCCAGTTACTCTCTTCATTAAAAAATTGTTTATTATTATTTTAATTAAGGTCTTTGTTGTTTTGTTCACCAAATTCCTAGGTTGGATTCAACACTGGCTTTGCTGGTCCTTGGGGAGGCTGCCAAATTAAACATGGCCTGCTTGAAAGCTTTAATGGAATTAATGAGAGATTTTCTTTTAAGCATTATGTCTGTTCAAAATCAGGTAACAGTATGTTGTTGATTTACGTGTGCTAAAAGACCTGAAGAAAAACAAATTTTATTTTTGCCACTATTTAAATTGAATATAATATTAGGGGTTATAATGAGCATAAATTTTTAACAAAATTTTTAATTAAATATAAAAGTAAATGCACATTTACCATATATCCCACTATGGATAGGTAGACAGATGGGTATAGTTAAAGATGTAGAGGTATGGAAATAGATTACACACACACACACACACACACACACACACACACACACACGAGAGGGACTTTATTTTTTTAATTTTTATGTATTTTGAGAGAGAGAGAGAACATGGGGGAGAGGTGAGAGAGTGGGGAGAGAAAAAGAATCTCAAGTAGACTCCACGCTCAGTGCAGAGCCCAATACTGGGCTTGATCTCATGACTGTGAGATCATGACCTGCGCTGAAATATAGAGTCAGACACTCAACTGACTGAGCCACCCAGGCTTCCTTACATGAGAGGAACTTTAAATTGTATTAACAAACTTGAGAACATATAGTCATACATGGTTTAGTTTCCTTTTTTAGAAAATTTAAAGTATATTACAAAAACACTTTTTATTGTAATTACATATTGTTAAAACTTACATTTTAGTCTGCATGAGATAACTTAACAATTTCTTCATTGTTGAACAGTGAGTTTGTTTCTAATTATTCACAGTTAATTGCAAACAATATTGAACTAGTAAATCTCATGAATAAAATATTTATCTGTGTTTATGACTATTTCTTCAGAATAGATTCATAAATTACTGAGTGATAGACTATGAACTTTCTTTTAATAATCTCAGAAAAGATGTTCAAATTCCTCTCCAGAAGATATAACTGTCTTGCTTTCCTATGAAAAATGTATAAAGTGCCACACATAAGAACTGAGCTTTATATAAAAATATATTCTTTTATAATATGATATGGAAAATGCTATCTCAGGGGATTAATTTACATTCTATTGATTACCAAGGAAATTGAAAAGTTGTTCTTTATAAACTTTTTAGATATTTGTAGTTTTTATTCCTTGAAGTAGATTTTATGCAATCTACCCACAGAAAACCTGTTTTTCAATTGAGTACATTTTAGAAATATTAGTTGGTGATGGTCTTTAACAGCTCTGTAAAATTTGAAGATATTTCTTACCATGAGTACAGTATGTAGTTTTAATTATGACAGAGCATATCTTGATTATCTAATAACTATTTTCTCATTTTAGGAAGAAAGCTGCAAGGTAGATGATGTTTCCTGGGCCTGGAATGTCGTCTACATATACACAACAATTCTTGCAGAAATTTGCTTGTATGCAGCCACTTCTAATTTGCGAAAAACTGCTTTTATTGGTTTCTGTGTCTGTACAAGATCACAAAAAGACATTTTACTCATGGATAAATCAGAAGAACCACCTAAATTGAAGGAAGCAAGTATTTTAGGTCTTTTGGACTATTTCTCTTCAAAAATGTCAGATAATTGTAAGTAAATTATTTCTCAACTTGTTGAGAAGCACTTCTTAAATGTCTCTATCTGCATATAGCAATAAGTATTTTATATTTTATTTTATTTCATTTTATATTTTTACAATATAGTGTTTTATTAGTTTCAGGTATATAATATAATGATTCAACAATTCCATACATCACCCAGTGCTTATCACAAGTGTGCCCCTTAATCTCCATCACCTATTTAATTCACCCTCACAACAATCTCCCTTCTGGTAACCATCAGTTTGATCTCTATACTGAGAGTCTGTTTTGTGGGTTTTTTTTCTCTCTCTCCCTTTTTCCTTTGCTCGTTTTTTTGTTTTTTTTTTTTTTTTGTTTGTTTGTTTCTTAAATTCCACATGAGTAAAATCATATGCTATTTGTCTTCCTCTGACTTATTTCACTTAGCATTATACACTCTAGCTCCATCCATGTCATTGCAAATGGTAACATTTCATTCTTTTTTATGACGGAATAGGAATAATATGTATATATACCACATATTCTTTATCCATTCATCTATTGATGGACATTTGGCTTCTTCCATAATTTGGCTATTGCAAATAATGCTGCTATAAACATAGCATGTAACCCTTTGAATTAGTGTTTTTATATTTTTTGGGTAAATACCCAGTATTGCAATTATTGGATTGTATGGTAGTTCTGTTTTTAACTTCTTTTTTAACGTTTATTCATTTTTGAGAGACAGAGACAGAGGTTGAGTGGGAGAGGGGCAGAGAGAGAGGCAGACACAGAATCCGAAGCAGGCTCCAGGCTCCATGCTGTCAGCACAGAGTCCCGATGTGGGGCTCGAACCCACAAACCACAAGGTCATGACCTGAGCTGAAGTCAGACGCTTAACTGATTGAGCCACCCAGGCACCCAAAATTTTCTTCATCCTTGTCAGAACCAGAGAATGTACACCCTCTGGAAATAAACATTTGATCTCCTCCTCATGTTCATACAGGATTTTTGGCTTTCCTGTATCAGTCATTACCATATGTTCCTTTGCTTTACATGATGGTACAAATGCCTAGTCAACTATTTTTACCATCAAATGATAGGTTTTAAAAACTGTGTTGATGTGATTCATTATACCTTGATTCTTACAGCATCACTGATTGATTTTTCCACATGAGGAAAATGATTTTGTCTGGGTTGTCCTGTATCATTGATAATGATCACCAGTTTTGTAAGACCACAGAAGAAAAAGCTCCAAAAGTAGTATAATCTGTGCAGGCATTGTCAAATGATTACTGGGGAAAATAGGTTTGTCTTTTTTGGAAAGTGACTTAAAGAACCTGGAGCTGTTGCTGTATTTAATTGAAAATGATTTTTTCCCATACTTTTATCTTTCAAGTAAGTAAATTTTTTGTTTAGAGTGAGAGAACTGGTCAGAAGTCACACAGATTTGTATTTTAATTCTATAATTTGTATCTTGGAATCCTACATCAAATTATTTAATTTTTCTGAATGATTACTCGATAATTATGATAAGACTACTATTCATATCATAACGCTTTTTATAAGAAAAAATATAGAAACATATAAATGCGTGGCATAGTACATTGTGCATAGGAAAGGTTCAATAAAGGTTAATAGTTGTTATGGTTGTTAATGTAGTTGTTAATATTATAGTGAGAAAACATCAGTGAGGAGGGATTTTTTTTCCTAACATTTAGTACTATGTACACTTTATATCCTGGGGATGCTGTTTTATTTATATATAAAGATATAAATGACAGTGAAAAATATTTTAAATGGTATATATAATATATAAATAGTCTTTTTTACTAATAAGTCAAATCGTGTTATCAAGGCTTTAATAGGAAAAAACCTCAAATCATAGTTTTATAAATGCTATAATAAATAAATTATAATAATAAAATAATAATTTCCTTGAAGATAATTTCCTGGTGATCTCATCTGATATGGGAGCAGAACTTAAAGAATCTAGAAGAATGACTATTTAGCATGTTCCATTTTCATTCTGTGATTTTGTGTCACACAAGCTTTTCATAGAATCAGACATAAAATAAGTCTAGAGTGAGGTATCTAGCCAATGATTGAAGTGCTGCCTTTTAGTTGATTGAATAGAAATTTCTATGTATGCTTATAAATACCAATTATACATTTAACATTTGCTACTGTGGACGTAACTGTGTCCCCCAAAATTCGTATCTTGAAACCATAGCCCACAATGTGACTATATGTGGAGATGAAATAATGATGGTGGGGCCTGATACGTTTGAATTTGTGTCCTTGTAAGAAAAGACACCAGAGAGCTCACTCTCTCTACTATGGGAGGACACAGTAAGAAAGCGGCCGTCTAAAACCCAGGAAAAGAGCCCTCACCATAAACAGAATCAGCTGGCACCTTGATCTTGGAAATCCTAGCCAAGGATTTGGCTAGAAAAGAAATAAATTTCCCATCTTTAAGACTCTCAGTCTATGGTTTTTTGTTATGGCAGTTCAGTTATGCCTCCCAATGGGTGTTGTGCTGTAGGCAGATCTGAATATGCTCAGGTGCCTGACTAATCCTTATCTGAAACACAAATTTTTGCAACAGAGACTCCATTTTATTTATTTGCTTGTTTGCTTATAAGTTTTTAATTCCACTTAGTTAACATAGTGTTATGTTTGTTTTGGGTGTACAATATAGTGGCAGCATAGTCTCTAGATGAGACAGTTTTGAGCTGGAAAAACATGAGGGAAGGTGATAAAAATTAATTTATTTAAATGCACAGAATTTTTGCTTGATCCCTGTTGAAATTCCAGTTTTCGGAATCATTTTGCCTTGATGGGTCATAAAGGATGATAATAGTTAATTAACATTTATTGAGCTCTTACTATATGTCAGGTATTATTCTAGGCTAATTCATTAATCATTACAACGAGACTCTACTTAGATATTCATATAATCCTCAATTTACAGATGAGAAAACTGAAACATGAAGAGTTTATTTGTCCAAGGAAATATATTTAGGAAACAGTACATCTGGGACTTAACCTAGGCAGTCTGGCTTCAGAGTCCATACTGACTACCTCACTATGCTGAACTAAGTAGGTTAGTTGACCTGCTGAATGAAAAATTTAAAAAATCATCCATTTGTATGTTGAAGAATGTGAAGAAGACGGCTGTGAGAAATTCTGACAGTCATTATCCTACAGCACTGTGTGTGAAAGCATTTTCATAGACTTTGTGTCATGTGTGGTCTTTATTTCTAATCTGAATTCTTAGGACTTGTTCTAAAATTTTGAATCAAAAAATCCTAAAACTGGAGTGTAGGAATCTGTATTATTAAGCCTACAGAAAACCTAACCTATAAATTTAGCTGTTAAACAAGCTGCTAAAATGCTGTCCTAATCATAGAGGAAAATATCTGTCTTACTTGTTATTGCAGACCTTTATGCATCCAATTGGAGGCTATTTATGTCAGGTGATTTATATATAATTTTACAAAGAGGGAAACATAGCTTTGTGTTGTACTGTATATTTTAATTTTTTTTTTCAACGTTTATTTATTTTTGGGACAGAGAGAGACAGAGCATGAACGGGGGAGGGTCAGAGAGAGAGGGAGACACAGAATCAGAAACAGGCTCCAGGCTCTGAGCCATCAGCCCAGAGCCTGACGCGGGGCTCGAACTCACAGACCGCGAGATCGTGACCTGGCTGAAGTCGGACGCTTAACCGACTGCGCCACCCAGGCGCCCCAGTACTGTATATTTTAAACACCATCTTCTGTGCTACTACTTTGGTTTTCAGAGTGTTAAAACGATAGTTTTTTTTTTTTTTTTTTTTAATTCATGTTAGTTAACATATGATAAAATGAGAAGCTTTTAACAAGCCTTGATTATCTGGAATATATGTTGTGAAATTAACACCTGAAAATGGTGTATTCTGTGAGAAACCTTCAGACACCGATTTAGTGTGTCTTGTCTAAGAAACATACAATGAATGAAAGAATCAAATATATCATAGAAAAGTAATTCTGTCTCTCTCTGTCCCTTCCCTGCTCGTACTTTCTCTCTCTCTTTCAAAATAAATAAATAGACATTTAAAAAGAAAAGAAAAAAAAGTCAGCAGTGATCTGGAACTCCCTATCTACCAAAGTAGGTCATTCCACTTTTAAACACTGTAAACAATTCATCCTTATATTAAAATGAAATCTATTTTTCTAACTTTGGTTTAGGTTTTGCCTCCTGGAGGCAATAAGAAAAAAAAAAGTCTATTGCATTTCCCACATGCAAGCTCTTCAAATATTTGAAGATAATTGCATTGGTTCTCTTTCTCCACCTCTTCACTTTGCCATCATCACCCATCTCTGCTTACTGCCAAGGTCCTGTGCAAACTTTTCGTAATACATGAAAAACGTATTTCCAATATGGCTTATAATTAGCCTCTTAAGTTTGCTAGGAGGTCATAATGTTGTTAACTTAGAATTTGTAATAATTTATTCCAGTGTTATAATATGATGTGAGACCCAAGTATTTTTTCATTCAATGTTGTCTATGAATGAAAGAAAGTAAATATGACATTCTTCTTTTCATTCTTCTGTTGAGAATTATTTTCTTAATCTGGTTATGCAATGATAGTGGTGAATGAAATATAGGTCTCAGTTGTAAAATAACTTTTTATGCTATATTTTGATTCATTTTAACTTAGTTTTGAAAAAACATTAGCACAGAGCAATAATTCCTTTTTAAAAAGCAAATGTAAGTGAATTGGAATCTTAGAAACAATTGAAACCCTTAATGGTACTGTATTAAATCTTCAGCATAACTTTTACCTTGGTGAAGGCTATTCAGAAAAGTATACAGTAACAAGGTTGTATTTATTATACATGGAAAATATTTAACTCCTTTAAAAATCTACATTCATGTTAGTGATAGAATTCAGGCAATCTTCTTAATTCACAACTTTTTGTGTTGACAAATCTAAAATTACCACCGAGTATTTTATATATATATGGAAGTTAACCAAATGTATC